TAATGTAACATTTCTTTGACCCAGTATTAAACATAAAAGTGGTTAGTATTTTAAAATAATGTTCAAATGGTTATTATGTATATTAGATATAAATGACATTTCCATGGAGAAAAATAAAGATTTAATTATTCAGGCCAAAAAATGTGAAGTGCTGACAAACACTGTAACGGGATCAAACAGGGAAGTTCAGCGACTTCAGCTGGTAAAGGATTGCATAGAGTAAATAAGGCGTTTTCACAGACATTGTAACATGTCACAACAGGAAAAGCACAGGGTCCTGAGGGTCCTGGTATTGTTCATGCTGGCTCACTGTCACATTGTCATGGCTTACTGGGACACTTGAACAGAACAGAGCCTACTGACTTCATTAGTAACACCTGTGCTTTCCTGCTATGACGAGTCAGTATTGTAGAACTGGAGGCTTATGCCACAATCGAGACTGGTCGGAACTGGGATTTTTCCCAGTTGACTTCCAACCTCAAAGCGTTCCAGGTACATGGTGGTGCATGACTCTGAAAGTGAACGAAAACCATGGCTGACCGTGACAAAGCGTGCACACAGTTGCACGTCAGCAGTGTTTTAGGAGTTACTTCGAAGGATGGCAGATTAACTGCAACAACTGACATAAATAGCCTATACGTTACTAGTTAATTGTGTACCCCTCAAGCTACATCAGTTGGTAACCCTCAAGTCGGTCAATGTTGTAGGTTACACTTCCTAATGTTTTGGCATTTTTAACAATAACTTTTATGCAGAGATGACTTTATGAGAGTCTTTACTGTAGTCAGCTACCTAATAGGCCTAACATATTTCTTCATCAATGTCCATGGAGAACAGGTTTTACTATATGATCGTATATGTATTATTTTAATTTAAATACATGCAAATATACTTTTTGTTGCAGTTTAGTTTATGGTTTATCATTTACAGTGTGTGCTTCCATGGGAGCTGCCATGTCTTGTGACGTCATTCAGCTGTTACTCGTGAAGTCGGGGTACAGATTTTTTCTCCGAGTTCACAACTAGGAAATCCGACTTCAAGTGGTGTTCCAGGATAGTTTTTCTAGTTGGAGATCGGAAATTTCCAAGTTCCAAGTTGCCTGGAACGCAGCATTAAACCTTTGTGATGTCACACAATTCCCAGTAGAGCTCCACCCACCATCAACTAAGCAGAGTTCTAATTATTTGTAAGAAGTAGAACATCTACAGACTGAGAGGTAAATCTTTCGTCTCTACAGGAACTGACAAAAGATGTGTTGCGCCAAACCTTTCTTTAATCTGCTCAGTTGTTACGTAGTCCTTTAAGTTCCCTGACAGGTGGTTCAAATTGAAAGGAATTGGCATCAATCTGCTGCAAGTCTCTGCTCCCTGCCTGCCTTTCCTTTGTCTATTGTAGACATCCCTGCTCCCACTGAACGATTTGGAAAGACATGAAAGACTGTAGAACTTTTCAAGCAGCAGTCAGACTGCATCCCTTTGGCTTGTAATTGGTTAAAAGCTGTGCTCGATAAATCTGAAATGCTTTTTTCAGAAGCATTTTGTTTTGTTATGTTTGTGGAAATTCTCTTTCCCAACAGCAATCAACAAATCCAGTATCTGTGGAAGTCACAGGACTGTAATAAGCACAGCCAATCATGTCTTCCTGCCTACCTGCACGCACTTGTGCACTGACTGCGCTTGAAAATGTGTTTTGTGGGAGTGGTTTTGGAGGGTGACCCATACGGGCCGCTTTCTGCTGAGGACGGGCTGTAATTTTAAGCCCTGTTGGCTGTTTGAGTGTGTAGTGTATATAGAACTAAAGTAGTTAAGTAGAAGAGTAAGCACTAAAAGCAGAAACTGTCATTTAAAGAGTAAAGCTGATGATACAAGGGGCAACTCTTTGAGCAATCTTGCTGGTGGCAAGTCTGGCCACATTTTGAACAGATAGCGGCAGGGCGGGGTTACGGTAGTAATCTTTACTCATTACCATTGACTGCGACATTGCCCAACAACATTGCTCAAAAAGTTGCCCCATGTATCATCAGCTTAAGAGATGAAAGTATCAGCTGTTATGTAAGACAGTGTTTGAGCTGTCAGGTAAAGAGTAATTTTTTGTACTGAAAGCAATTGAAATGTAATTCGAAGTGTAAACACTGAAAGCAGAGTAAGAGACAAAGCAATTAAATTATCAGTTTAAATGTGGAAATGAAAGCAGTTAGTAAGATGAAGAGCTGAAGAGAGAGAGCTACACAGCAATGTAAAGAATCTGAAAACAATATAAAACTCCAATTACTGAAAAAGTTTGAAAGTCATAAAAAAAAGTAATATGATAAAAAGAGGGGGACTGATTTAAAGTTTAAATGAAATTTCTAGGTAAGTAGGAACGTGTTAATGAGTATGATAAAGTTGAAGATGAGTTGGAAATGTCCAGATTGAAGGCACTGAAGGCGAGCACACTAATAAATGGCCCATGTGATTGGTAAGTAACTGTTTGAGGTGAGAAAAGCCATCAAACCTGTATTCTCTGTCAGTGACACTTCCTACTTTTACTACACCTCATTTTCCACTGACTGCCCGTCTTATCGGCTCTCGCTATTTTCCAATTACTGCTGGAGATAAAAACCAACAAATTATATAGAATATATAGCCATTTACGACAGGCTTTCTCAACTTATTTACCGTATTTGTCCCACAGGTTTCTTCATAATATCATAATGTGTTCATAATATCAACAGCCATTTTAAGGTTTGAGTAGAAAACGGCAGAGATCCTCTGAAGTGTCTGCCATCCTTTAGTCTCAGATCTAAACGCAGTGTGAGTCAGGTTTTACTCTCCAGGCTTGTGACATGATGGGACATTTCCTTCCAGAGCTTTGCAACATTTTACACTGTGTTTTCTACTGGATTACTCAACACCTTCTGGGGCCTCAACTGATATTTGCAGTATGTAAGACATGGGTGGATGTATAATTTAAATGAACATGCAGTTCTTCAGGTGTTACTATGCCTGTATCTGTTGCGCTCGGGTGCAGAGAGGAATGACGAATTACAAGGGTTATTGGAAGTTCATGTGCTCATATCTAAATTAGTTTGAGGTAAAATGTCAGCCAAATGTTAAGGCCTCCCTCCACTAATCTCACAAACAACTTTGACATGTTCCAACAAGCATTTCAAGTAAATTAGAGTGTAAAATAGGAAACATACAGTATATATTTAATTACCTGGCTTCCTAACCAAACTTGATTGTGATGTGGATTGTAGCTGGTGGAGATAAATCAACTTTGCTCATGGATGCTTTTCAGAAGAGCTTTGAAAATTGAATGTAGTCGCTGGAAATGGCAAATATAGTGTTTGGGATTTTCTTTGACCAAAGAACCCTCATTCATTTAGTAAACTCAGATGTATAAAATTTTATTCACAAAAAAGGTTTTGGAGCTCTTCATGGTCACAGATAAACGATGCACGATAAATGATCAAAACAAAAGGTTCCCAAATGAATGTGGAAGGATCAAATTAAGAACTTCTTGATGATAAATAGAAAGAAGGGGAATGGGTGTTGCAGTGGGATAAAGTGGATGTTCAGGCCAGCTATTCAGGATAAGATGAGGACCACATCCACATTAGTTCTCACAGTTACATGTTTACACTTGGTGTAAAAACTGTTGTCCACTGTGGCTGTATTTATGCAAATCAATATACTTTGTGTTCTTTACAGTACTTACACAGTATGTGCATTGACATTTTGATTTGTTTCTTAGGGGAAAAGCACCATTGTAAGTAATAACATTAATTCAGACTTAATTTAATCAATTCAAAGCGTCCTCGAAAGCTATTTCGTTGAGCCAGCGTGTACAACAACAGAACTTTGGAACTATGCAGTCTTTATTTGGGAATTTATTTCACCTGTACTTTCCTGTTGCGGTGGGATAGTTATGACTTGTCACAGCAACGGGAAAACAGCACACAGGTGCCAATAAGAACAGTAATGATGGCTGCATTCCATTTAGGTGTGTCAGTTCCAGGACCCTGTAAACACTAGTCTAGCTCCACCCAACTACAACCTTATCAGATGTCTAATTAGACAGAGTATGTGTGACCTGTTCCACCCACATGTTCTGTGCAGTAACAGCCAAGTCAGCTGTGAAAAATGCTTGTTTTCTTAAAAACATGGAGCAACTGTATTTGTAGGTGCCTGGTGCCTCGTGGGAGCTGTAGTCCATGTCAAAAGGCCACTGCTGAATTTTACTAACTTTTCCCGCTAGTGTTACACTACTCCTACAATGAAAATGCCAGCACTTAAAACTGGTTTCTATGTCAAATTCTGAACAAGCTGCATATGATGCTATAGTCAATTTCCTTACATGCATTTTTTAAATTTACAAAAAAAAAAACATATAGCAGCTATCTGTGCAGCTGACTGCTGCGTGCGGGCTTCTTTTAACGCTGCTGCCTTAGTATTTCCCTGTTATTTCCCAATTTCTTATTTTCTCTGGCTTGTATGAGTAACCATCTGATTTATGTTTCTGTTAAGAATAGTTTGTTCTCCTTCAACCTGTCTTTGAACATTCAAGTGCCACCCTCACTCCCATTCAGACGTCTGGTGTTCACACAGCACTGAAAGTCACTGTGCTGCTACTTAGCTTTGTTGGCTAAAGTGTCATCTGTAAAGTACCTCTGGATGTGTATAAAACACAGTGAGAGGAGAAGTCACACCCACTGAGAGCACCAGTTGAAAAGCAAGAAGGGCTGTAGCCTCAGTCATGGACTAATTATACTAGACACTGACAATTTAATGCAAATCTTTTACAGACACAGAGAAGTGTTCTGACTGCCAAAGGAGCATCAGCAAAATTATACAGAGATGATGAGATGTTTCCCTTTAACTTGCAAGAATAGATCCTATTTATCATTAATTACATGCCCCCATCTCACTCTTTCTGTTTTCTGTCTGTCTCTCACACACTCACACCCTGCAATCCTCTCAATAAGAGCCTAATGAATCTCATTTCTGTCCTTGTTTCAGGGATACACTACCGCAAGTCCTGTGCCTCATCAGGAGCCTGTCTTATCGCTTCTTCTGGTTACCAGCAGTTCTGCACCGGCAAGCTCAACTCAGTGTGCATCACCTGCTGCAACACACCACTGTGCAATGGACCACGCCAGAAGAAACGACCCCAATCGTCCGCTGCCGTTACCCTAGCCGAGCCGCAGCACCCTGTGTTTTCGCTCTACATCCTCCTCCTACTGTCCTCCACCCTGTGCTGACAGACTTTTCACACACTGGGTTAAGTTGTGCATTAAAAATGTTCTAATACTGACGGTGGAGACAACATGAGCTGGAACTGTATTAAGTGAGGCAGTGAAGAATACATGCTATGAAATGTTTATTCTTTAAGTATTTCTTCTCCTGACTCTTTGGCTTTCTCTTGCGGCTTGCCTCCAAAGTTCACAAGGTAAAAAAAAAAAGAAAAAAAGAAAAAAAAGTCATGTCACAAACATGATCACGGTGCAGCTGGCGCGAGTTGGGTAAGGTAAGGTGCCATGGATGAAACAGCTTCTGGCTATTTTGTTGGGCAGCAGGTGGCTCATTATCATCTGTCTTCATTTACTAGGTCAAATAAGACATACTGCAGGAAAGATAGGAAGTTCAGATTCATCATTCATTCATCCGAGAAGAGCTCTCCAGAATAAATAAATCAAATCAATACCCTTACCTGCAAAAATCACCAATTTTGCTGTTATTTATGAACTGAAAGAGACAGTGTATTACGACAGTGATACTGTTTAATGACTCTGGGAAGAAAGACATAAAGTGAGGTGAGGAAAAAGGTTTATAATATATCAGTGGTAATATTAAAACCACCTACAGCCCTCTAGCCCACAACAGGTGCAACATGTTATCAGTGACAGATCTCTGTAAAGTCCACGAACACACTGCGGAAGCCGTAAAAAAGTTTGTTATCCTGGAATTTTGCTCCACTAATTCTGTGACAACCTTTGCTGCTCACCAATATTGTACACAGAGCTACATGTTGAAGAACAAATACCCTTTTCAAACTACTTATCACACATTCATTGCATCTCCAGTGACTGACATTTGAACAGTTTGCACTGAGGTGGAGCAGCAGTAATGCAATAAGTGTGCAGTGTGATGGGGGGTATCTAGTGTAGCTACATGTCGGCTTATGATGGAGTAGGTCAACTTTTTATCCCATCACTTTAAAAAGAAAATATGCTAGTTACCTATTATCAGGGAATATGTTATATGGGAAGATATCAGCATCCATACCTTGAGAGGTTATTTCAGAGCCAGATATATCAAGACATGAGGTAATGTGATCTGCTAAACCTGCAAGAAATTGGTGTTGCCTGTCAAAATGTAATATTCAGTTGCTTTCACAGTGGTTAAATGGTTTGTTTGGAGGTGATCTTTAAAGGTTCAAAGCCCTGTGGAGAACAGCATCAGTTGTTTCAGCCAGTGCTCCAAAACAACACATTTACGTTCCTCTAGCAGTTGTAGTAATTATAACAGGAGCAAAGGAGTTCGCCGTTCGCTTCTCATTTCCTACTGAGCAATGTTGGTTTCTTTTATCCGTGACCATGATCGTCTCCTTACCCTAACCATCTGTTTATTACTGTGACCATGACAAAGTTGACATTTTAACCCAAACGATGATCATTCCCTAACCCAAACCTTTTGGTGTCTAAACGTAACCAAACAATGGTTAAAGATTTATTTTTATTTTTCAAACAGAGATTTGTAACTGTTTAGGAAGGAACAGAAAAAATATGTCATCCTGTCGATAGAGGCGTCAGATCAGAAGACGCTTATCTATCGTTCTAGAGGTTTTTGAACAAACGTTTAACCATCAGATTTGGGGAACTTGTTGTATTGTCAAGTCTTGTGTCGAATACATGAACTCTGAACATCAATAATACCATGATCTCAACCTCATGTGCATCGAGACATCTGATTAGTTATTCAGTCAAGGCAGAGAATACTTTTTTGGCGCCTTTGGCATGCCTGCTTCCTGCTTCCCGACTTTTCAAATTTGAACGACTTAAAGGTTCAAATTCATTTTGAGGTTTTCATCATCATTTTACAGCCTTTTCTTTTGTAATAAATGTGTATGGGAAAAGTCATTTGGGGCCAGTGCGCGGCAAGTGACCTGCTATATAACTGTGGCCACTTAGCCAAAACTGCCTTCCAGCTCAGTGTTGCTCCTGGGGGCTTGTAGTATGCACTACACATTTGCAATTCCGCCCTCTGCAGTCAATAGGAAAATATAACGTGTAACCTGTGTGCTTATGAGATATATATATATAATGTGTGTGTCCTCATGCGCATTAAGAAGACCCACACATCCAAACAGTGATCCATATCACCACTAGTGGTCACGTCACTGGGTACGTTTAACTTTAACTCTAGCTGTGGGGTCGTCAGGCTTATTTTAATATTTGAGCTTTCACATAAACATTCATTTGACATTTTGACATTTCTTAAAAGTGGGGTAAGCGATTCTGGAGAAATCCAAACAGCTCGACAAATACCTTGATAGAGAGTGAACAAAGACACAGCAAGTAATGTATCGTTAGCTAGTCTATGGGTTACCAAACTGTCGTTACAGTTGCTGCTCCGAGGCTAACCAGCAGAGAGCACGAGACGGCCCCAGAGCCAGCACAGCAGCTCCAGACAGCCATACTCACAGCTCTCTTGCTGCTATAGCTAACATCACAACAACAGCATATCGTGGCAAACAAGAAAGTAATCTGAATGTCTGTGGCGAGTCATTTAACGTTCCCTGACAGACAAATCACGGCTGGAATAGTGTTGTGTGGCTCGGGCCAAGCCACTTTGTTTGCTTCCCATTTACAGAGTCAGGGCTGTGTACAAACACTTTTGTTTTTCGAGGAATTTCACAAAAAGCTGTGTACTGGATTGGAATCGCACACCCCACCTTTAAGTTATATGTCTCTTTGAGGAGTCCCATCAAGCTTACTACTGTGCTAAATTGCCAGCTGAGCATGATTGCTCACTGAAATTTCCGACTTTTGAAACTTTGTATTGTTGTGGATAAAGAATATCTCTATATTTGTTTCTGATGGTACAGCACAGGCATCCTTGGTTAGTTTTTTTCAGTCTTGCATTAAATTGTACAGCACATTACACGTCAGCCTCTGGTGGTACATCTCTCTTTGTTTTGAGGCTTGAGTCAGACTCTTCAGTCGGGCCGAGAGACATTTGAGTATTTGAAGCCACTCCAGAGTCACTTTGAGGGGTTTCCTCTCGTGCAAGGGTAGGGTGGTTCGCCCTGCTGCGACGCAATGACTTTAACAGCAGGGGCTGGAGGGAGCGTGCAGAGGCGGCACCATGCACAGTTCGCTTGTTGATGTGTTCGATGGTGAGGTGGCACCGCAGCACCTGGACAAAAACCTCCCTGAACTGTCTGGAGGAGAGGTTGTAGAGAAATGGGTTGAGGACAGAGCTGAGGTAGAAGAAGGAGTCGGCCACAGGGTGGAGAGTAACGTAGCTCCGGAAGTAGGAAACACTCCACTGGGACTTGGGCAAGGCAGCCATCATAAGACGACGAATCTGGTTGGGAAGCCAGCACACCATCAAGGATACCACGATGAGACCTGAGGAAAAGTGAGAAAGAAAGTCAGAAACATAAAAACGATTGATACCACTCTGTACATCTGTATTTCTAAAAGGAAACTGAAGAATGTAAAGTTGACAAGTTCTTATTAACTTTTACAGAGGACAATAGAAAGCATCCTGACTGAAAACATCACTAATGGGCATGGGATGTGCACGGCCCAGGACCAGAGGCCTCTGCAGCGGGGGATTAAAACCCCGCAGAAAATCATCGGTACCCATCTCCTGAGTGGTCTACGATGTAAAATAGTTTTATTTCTACGACTTCTTATTTATCCACCCATGTAGTGTATATCATTTTTGTTTGTACGTTTGCTTTGTGTGAGTAGCATACAGGGACAACAACTTTATCTCGTTTTAAAACACTGTGTTGTAAAATGATAAATAAATCTACCATGTCCACTAAATTTAAAGCTAGAGCAAGTTGGTTAGCTTAGCTTAGCATAAAGAGTTTTAACAGCTAGTCTGGCTCTATCTAAAAGGTATCAGAATCTACCCACCAGCACCTCTGAGCTCAGCAATTAACAGGCTATATCTCATTTGTTTACAGGGTGGGTTATGTGCTGAACTATTTCTTGGCTGGGTGCAGTGACTTCCTGGAGAGTTACCTGGCAACCATCAGAGACTGTAAGACAGTTTGTCATTTTAGTACATATTAAACAAACATATCACCTGTTAATTGGTGAACTTTAAACAGAGCCAGCCTAGTTGTGTCCCCCGATTTGAAGTAAGAAAGTAAGTTAAGCTAACATCTTCTGGCTGCACCGTCATATTCATATATTCAAATTTCATATTTAATAGGGTGTTGTATGACACACACTGTTTCATTTTAGAGAGAAGAAGAGCGGCTGGTTGAAACAGACATGACTGGATCATACCTGCTGATGTTTTATCCCCCTAAATCCGTTCCTTTTTGTAACTATACTGCAGGAACTCCGAAAATGACCAAAATGTACCCAGAGTGCCTGCATGTGCACCGTTTGAGTACACTTTGCATTGTTTACCAATGATTCACAAATGTGAAACCCAGTACGTTGACCTCCCACACACAGGATTGCACCTCTGACTGATAAACCAGCCAGCTGACTTATCTCATCTGTTATGTCTGAGTCATGTGCTTACTATTTGAAAGAACTAACACATCGTCATTCTCTAATCTGGTGTTTATCCATTTGCCCTGCGGCGGTTTAATAGGAATTACACAGTGACTCGATAGCCTTTCAACACTCACAAAATGATCTGACTTGAGACATCACTTCCTGCTGTGGAACATAGATATCATCGCTGCTTATTTATAATACACCGTCCAAGACTGCTGAGGGAATTTATTTATCCCAGAGTCAATTCAAGGAAAGAGCAAAAAAAATGTGAATAGATTTCTTCACAAAGAGGGAAATGTAGGTGGTTAAAATCTCTCTTCATGTCGGTTTACACGTAGACAAGAGAGAGACAGCCTATGGGGTTGATTGTTCTCATTTAGTATGTATGCTGCTTTGGCAATATTGTTGTTTCACAGTCATGCCAATAAAGGTAATTTGAATTGAATTGACAGCCACAAACAGATTTTAATTTAGACCATTCGCTTCAGTTGGAAGCTGTGATTCCAACCTCAAGTGTCTGCGAGCTTTCAAAGTCGCAAGAGACAGTATTCAGGCCACAGTACAAGTTATTTTGTGGAAACTAGGCGATTTTAGCTCCCTGAAATGCATTTCAGTGATGTTGTTTTAAACATTTTTACACTGTATTGGCTCTTTTTTTAATGTCTCAAAAGTTAAATACATTTTTGGGAGGTGTGAACACTGGCAATTTTGGCTAAGCTGTCCATGGAACACATTGGAGCATTTAGGAAAGAAGAGGGCTTCTCGGTTATTTTTAAGGATGAATAGATCTACCACATTTGCTGGCAAAAAATGTAACAAAAAAAAAACAAGTTGCAGGTTAGTCACAGCAGATTTAGGTTCATCTACGCAGTATGGCTCTATGGATGACAATGTCAGTCAGTCAATCCGTTCACCTCTTTGGTCAAAACAGATATATCTCAACAAATATTTGATGCATTAACATAAGCCTTTGTAGACTTTCACAGTCCCTAGAGGATGTAATCTAATGACTTTGGTGATCCCTTCACTCCCCCTATCTTGAGGTTTTTTAACCTGTTGGGAAACTTGAAGGCGAGATGCAGAGGAAGAGATCTGAGGTGACGATACTGCATGATGTGAAAGAGGCCGGTGTCCTAAAAACAACTGGAAGTTAGCTGTTGTAGTTTAGTTTAGGAAAAGATCATGGTTTGGGTTAAAACAACTATGTATACATAAGTTAATTTACATAAGTCATGTGAATTTACTTAAGCCAATGTTGACTTTTGGTCACCGGGACACCAACAGCGCTCTCCTGTGTTTGAACGTTATGAGCGTAAGTTAAGCTATATCTGTCACCTGGTGTAACTTAAGTCACCTGACATAATGTAAGCCACATGACATTATGCAAGTTAAAATAAGTCAGCGTTAACTTTTGGTTTCACTCGGGACATGAACAGCTGTCTCCTGGGAGAAAGTCCTGTGTTTGAGCTGTCCATCCAGCCCGAACTTCCTCCCTCCGCAGACTCTGTCGCTCTTTATACTACCTCGCCTCACCTTCCTCCTTTGCTCCAGTCATAATAAGCCATCACCTAAATAAATATGGGTTGTAACAAGCTGAGTGCACAGATGACCTATACAGCTATATTTCTGAGCAGAACGGGCCGTTTCATAAATGTATTTCACAGGAGTTATTGGAGACTAGAATCACAACTCAATTTAGCGCTGTGTGTAGGGACACAATGTTTATAACATTGAACAAGTTAGCCATAATGTCTTGATTAGCCTGTGTTTGTTTTGGACGACCTTCTGTCCTCTAGCAAGGCTGGTTTATCAACTGACTGCCCCAGGGTTCACTGTGTGGCAATTAGTTTGTGGTAATCCAATCTGAATTTCCAAGATCCCAAGATGGATTTTTACCAATTACTTATTATTTTACAACCCCAAAGATATTTGATTTACAATGATATATAGGAAAACGCAACAATTCCTTACTTAGGTGAAATATGTTTTTCTTGAAAAGTTATTTAAATGATAGCTGTTAACTCATTAATGTTATGTGATTTTTTTCCTGCTAGATTGACTGCAACTGTTTTCATAGGATTTTTAATAATTGCAAATATTTTTTGTAACATGTAATATACTTGGGCAGTTAAGGAAAACGTCTCATCCTTTATCCTGCCATCCTTATAAATGACACCAACTGTCCAAATGACGTTTGCATCAATATCACACACTCCACTGATCCAGCGTCAAAGCTTGGAGGGATGGTGCATTTTGGCAGTTCTAGTGTTTACAAACCTACAAAGTTAAACATTTTAATAGGCCGCTAAAATGTCACTTAGAGGGATGATGCCGCTTGTTACTGATTAGCAGACAAGGCTGTCTTTATTATCGGTGGTCTTACTCTGATCAAGGCAACAGATCATGTATGAAATGGCACTATCTTTCTTTAAAAAGGATTTTTTTTTTTTTTTTGGCTTGGTTCTACCTGTCATGGCGGCTCGTTGATCACAGTCTAGTCGTTCATCTGGAAAATTGCCACTGAGTCAGCACAGTTCAGTAACGTCCCCGCAAAGAGGAGTGTATGCAGCTAAAGCTGTGAAGGTGTGTGGATGGTATGTGTGAAGCACACACGTTTTAATTTTTTTTTTAATATTGTTGTTATTATTATTATTCCACTATTCCACTTGTCATTCTGAATGTGCCAATGATACCCCCCGACTTCACTGAAAACACACACACACACACACGCGGTCTCCCTGCCATGGGCAAAATATAACTGTCTGCTAATTAGAAAGCAATTAAACCAGATTATTGGAACAATTAATTGTCTGTCTCTGCTGTAATTGGAGTGTGTGATTGAGCTTCCTCGTTCCTTGGTGCAGTACACAGCAGCGCAGAATAGGGTAAGTGAGCCATTGTTTTAAGTAAACATAATTTACATTGTTAAACATGTGCTGAGAAGAGAATTTCACTACAAAAGTCTTTCTTAAGTCCTCATTGCCACCTGCAGCCATGAAAGTTGGAGATAAAAGTGTATCCTTTCACTTCCAAAGGGTTCAGGGTTCTCTGAACATATTTTTGACATTATATGATTTGTTCTGGGGCTGTGCGATATGGCAAAAAATTCATATCCCGATATAGAATTTTTTTGTAAATTCAATGAAATATGGCATTTCCAACAGTAACTGATGATATTTATCTGCATCATAAAGGTGGGTAAGCGATTCTAGAGAAATCCAATACCATTATAAATACCATGATATAGTGAACAACGACACAGCCTAGGGCTGGGCGGTATATGAGGTATACAGATATAATTTCAAAAGAGATATGAAATTAGACAATACCGTTTATAGCGATATAGTTTGGTGTTGAGTTAATTAGTGTTTCCGTAAAGCCCTGCCAGCGTTTGCTCCTCTCTCTCTCCCTCACTCTGTGTCTGCACGTAGCCGTTTACTCGCAAAGTCTCTAACAAGATGGAGGGAGACACAGTGCTGAAGCAGGGTACCCCCAGGATCCTCCAAGTTAAATTTAAGACCTTTTAATACCACCTAGGATGAAATTTAACACCAACTTCACTGCCATATAATGAAAAATCTGTATGAATTTTAAGCCTAGAAAATTATTTACAAAGTTACATGACTTTCATAAAAGATTTTATTCTATTTAACACATTATAGCTTTTTGGGGTGTGTTTGTACTTTGATATGAATCAAGGATGTCACTTTGTGTTGAAAAGTGGTGTGGACATAGGGGTTCAAATTAGCACAGTGACGATACACTTAGCTCACATGCACGATTTACAATATTGGATTCACGAGAACAAGACAAGATTATATTTTAACACTATTTTGATGAAATATAATAATAATAATAATAATATAATATTTATATGAATTT